GAGAGAGAGAGAGAGAGAGAGAGAGATTATTAGTGTTTATTTCTATAGTGCCATACATTTACATGGCACTTTGCAGACACCATCAATTCAACATTAGAACCTGCCTACTATATCTCTGTCTGTCTGTCTATTTATCTATCTATTGATACATCTATCTTACTAATTTTTATTTATATAGTGCCATAAATTTACATGGCACTTACAGACCCCATTAATTCAACATTAGAACCTGCCAATGGCGTACAACCTAAAGCATAAACTACACAGTAATTAAGCCAATTATGCAATTAAAATACAAAACTGTAAAAACAAGTAATATTTTGATCAAATCTAAAAGATAATATTAAAATCAAGTTCCAAATGCTTCAGAGAACAATTATTTATTTTATTTCAAGGGTTTGTATCCTGCCTTTCTCCCACAATGGGTTTCAAAGCAGGTTACAATAATTTAAAAAGGCAGAACTAGTTGAGGTTTTGTGGTTTTTTATTGTTCCTTGCATTCACATGGCAGAAATAATCCAGTTTGATACTGCTTTTCAACTTCCGTTGGCTACAGGGATCCTGGGTTTTGTAGCTTGCATTGGCACCAGAGCTCTCTCTTCTTCTTCTTCTTGTTTCTTGGAAGAAGAGTAGATAGATAAATGATATGATTTTGTTGTTGCTGTATGCCTTCTTTTCTGATTTATGGCAAATTTGTGTCCTGGGGTTTACTTGGCAAGGTTTGTTCAGAGGCGGTTTGCAATGGCCATCCTCTGAGGCTGAGAGAGTGTGACTTGGCTTGACAAAAGAAAACCCCACAATAAGTTTGCCTTGTGTATGTGTGTTGTGTGCCTTCAAGTAGTTTCTGACTGATGGTGACCCTAAGGTGAATCTATCATGGGGTTTTCTTGGCAAGATTTGTTCAGAGGAGGTTTGCCATGGCCATCCTCTGGGGCTGAGAGACTGTGATTTCCCCAAGGTCACCCAGTGGGTTTCTGTGGCCAAGCCAGATTTGAACCGTGGTCTTCAGAGTCTTTGTCCAGCGCTCAAACACTAGGCCACTCTGGCTTTCCTCTCTCTCAGAGGTTAAACAATGTTACAAAAGTACATATCCCAGGATTCCATAGCATGGAGCCAGGGCAGTTAATAGCGGTATAAAACCGGATTATTTCTGCAGGGGGATGCATCCTGTGCTACAGCTGTAATGCGGACTGCAGAAATAAAGCAGGTTCATATCACTTCAACTGCCCTAACTCTGTTCTACAGAATCCTAGGATTTGTAGTTGATGAGGCACCCATAGAGAGCCAGCATGGCATAGTGGTTTGAGCATTGGACTACAACTCTGGAGACCAGGGTTTGATTCCCTTCCCAGCCATGAAACCCATTGGGTGACCTTGAGCAAGTCACACTCTCTCAGCCTCAGGGGGAAGGAATGTCAAACCTCTGCTGAAGAAATGTGCCAAGAAATCCCTGTGATAGGGTCGCCATAAGTCAGAAAAGACTTGAAGGCACACAACACAGACACGAGGCACCCAAGCTCTCTCACAGACCAGGCAGAATACTTTGCCAAACTACAAATCCCAGGATGAAGCCATGACAGTTAAAGTGGTGTCAAACTCCTTTATTTCTGTAGGGTGGCAAGTCTCCAGCATCGAGGTGGGTGGCTATTCCCTGGGTTGGGGGGCAGATAGCAAATGCAGGGGTGATTTACTGCAGGAGCTGAGTTTAGAGAAAGCGAGGAAGGAGTGTGACTCTGAGCATGTGCAGAGTACACATCTTTCCCTCACTGCCCATCCCTCCAGGCACATGGATGGGTGTGTGCTCATGTTTACAACTGTTTTTAACCCTTTTCCAGAATAAAAACAAGGATAATGCTGCTTGCAGCTGTTTGGACTCAGGAGTTTCTTCCCAAAGGCAAAAAGCAGAATATGGAGAGGGCCAGCGTGGTGTGGCGGTTTGAGCGTTGGATTAGGACACTCGGAGACTAGGGTTCGAATCCCAGCTCAGCCATGGAAACCTACTGGGAGACCTTGGGTATAACACACTCTCTCAGCCTCAAAGGATGGCAATGGCAAACCCCCTCTGAAGATACTTGCCAAGAAAACCCCATGATAGGTTGGCTTTAGGGTTGCCATAAGTCAGAAGCAACTTGAAGGCACACAACAGGGAGGGTCCCCAACAAGCAAACCTAGCTCACCTTTTATGTGTTTGAGGATGATTATGATTATGATTTACTTATATCCCACCTTTTTCCCAATACTGTATAGGGACTTAAGACGGTGAACAGCAAATTTAAAATGGAGGAAGCAGAGTGTGCAGCGTTAACGTGGCCACTCAAACCCTTTCTATGTCCTGGGCAGCTGGATCAGAAACAGCAAATAATTTTGGTGGATGCTGTTTTTGGCTTGGAAAGCTGCAGCACATCCAGTTCTGTGTGCCACTTCCAAAAGTCTTTTGTCAAAGCTGCAAAGGACTTTGGGGAGGATTTGAATTTGACACGTTTCTCTTTCCTTACCATAAAGGCTCACAGCTTGCTTTCTAAAAAGAGACCTGAAATAATAACAATAGTAATAGTAATAACAACAACAACAATACAGCCCACCCTCCTCAATCAACCATGGGCTTTCCATCCACGGATTTAAGCATCTGTGGATGGCAAGCCCCATTGCTGTGCATGCACACGGCCATGGCACACACCTCACTATTGAAAATTGTGGGATTGAGGTCCTGCAGTATTTTTTATCTGTGGTGTGTGTGTGTGTGTGTGTGTGTATGTGTGTGTGTCCGGAACAAAAAATCCACAAATATGATGGGCTGACTGTTGTTGTTGTTATTATGCACTTTTGTATGTTTTTAATTATCCAGTGGGCATTTGTTATCCACTGGGGTTTGGTTCTAGACCCCCCCCCCCCCGTGAATACCAAAATCCATGGATACTCAAGTCCCTTTAATTGTTGTTGTTGCTGTTGTTATTATTTATATCCTGCTTTTTACCCAAAATTGGGTCATGAAGTGGCTTACAAATTAAAACAGTACAGTCCGCCCTCCACATTTACAGGTTTTTTATCTATGGATTCAAACATCAACGGTTTTTAAATGTTTTTGAAATACATAAATTCCTAAAAGCAAACCTTGATTTTGCCAGTTTATGCATGGGACACCATCTTAATGTGTCACTGTATTTAATGGGACTTGAGTATCCATAGATTTTTATATCCATGAGGTCGTGGTGGTGATCCTGGAACCAAACCCCAGTGGATACCAAGGGCCCACTGTACAGTTAAAAACATACAAAAGTGCAAAATAAAATTGAATTAAACTAGTACAGTATGAAGACATCACTCATTGAAAGTCGGGGATGCTTTGATTGTGATTTCCTGCATGACAGGGGGTTGGACTGGATGGCCCTTGTAGTCTCTTCCAATGCTATGATTCTATGAATGAATAAAATGCAATCAAAAGATAAAAGCACTAAAAAACTGTATATATTAAAACAGTTAATAAAAAAATATTAAAATGCATTAAAAGTAACAAAAATAGAATTATATGCCTATCCTTAAAACTTCAAAAAACCAGCAGCATGCAGCATTAAACTCCAACCTCAACTGTTTGTGAAGGCCTGGTGGCACAAAAATGTTTTAACTTGCCACTGGAAGGAGAGCAAGGATAGGGCCATCTTGGCCTCTTTGAGGAGAGAGTTTCAAGGAGTAGGAGCAGCTATCAAGAAGGCCATCTCCCTTGTTCCTAATAAAGAGTCTGAAAAGGTGGTGGGATAGAAAGAAAGACCTCTCCAGATGATCCTGACACCCTAATGGGTTCATACAGGGAGATCTGGTCCTTCAAATAACTCGGACCCTATTCTTGGGAAGTCACTGAATAATGAATTCAGTAACACCACTTTTCTGTATTCCTTTGTAACCATGGCATACTCACAGTCCCAAATATAGGGCAGTTATACTAAAAAAACTACATGAGTTCATTAACCTTTCATATATATGTGTGTCTATGTACTATATTTTTTGGGGGGAAGGAATTCTGACTATCATCAGAAAAAACTGAATGGCCTCAGTGAAATGAGGATAGTTGGATAAAGTGTTTTTTGCTCGCTATGGTTGAGGGCAAGTTCCTACCTTATTCTCCTCTTTCCTGGCATTTCAACACAAAAGTAGATTGGGAAATGATGGAAAAAGCAAATCAGAGAGCAGTGGCAGCAGATAGAAAGTGCAGAATGCCAGTCCTTCCAGATATCTGAACCACAGCAGATCACTTGATGAAGGGTTGTGGGGTGTGCGATGTGAAAGTTTGGGTGCTTTTGCTATTTTTGAGAGTTTACCATCCTCTTTAAAAGAACAACACATTTGATTTCCTGCTAGGTAAGAGGAAGTGTCAATATGAGCCACATGGAGGAGAATTTTAGCCCTGAAGAGGCAAGATCCCAGCTCGTGACCAAAAGGAAACTCCTTAAGATGCTGAGCTTAAGTCCAGGACACAGCCAAGTGCGTGGAAGCGAAGGGAGAGAGAAGAAGATCCCTTCCATGACGTGGCCAGTGAAACCAGCACATACCATCAAGAAACGCAAAGCCTTCTTGGTCCATCGGGGGACCCAGACTGAAGAAATCCCTGATATTTGCATTGAGTGTGGGAAAGTCTTCATACAGAACTCGAGCTTGATCAACCCATGGCCTGTCCAGCCGGACGATAAGCCACATAAATGTTCCGAATGCGGGAAAAGCTTTACCGTTCGTTCCAGCCTGAATCGACACCAGAGGATCCACACGGGAGAGAAACCTTATATCTGTCTTGACTGTGGCAAACGATTCAATGACAAGTCCAACCTCACACAGCACCAGCGCATCCACACTGGGGAGAAGCCCTATGAATGCATCGACTGTGGCAAGAGCTACAGCCGCAGCTCCCATAAGAAGAAACACTTGAAGGACTCAGATGAGCAGCAGGAGGCTTGCATTCAAGAGGAAGAGGCTGAGGTTAGCGGGATTGGTGAGAAGCCCAAAGCAAAACAGAAATCAGAGGTGCTGAACACTTGTACGGAGTGCCTGCGGAGCTTCAGCCACAATGCTGACCTGATCAAGCACATGCGCATCCACACCGGGGAGAAACCCTACAAGTGCAACATCTGCGAGAAAAGCTTCAATGTTAGTTCCAACCTCTTTAGGCACCAGAGAATCCACACAGGCGAGAAGCCTTACGTGTGCTCCGAGTGTGGGAATTGCTTCACTGACAAATCAACCCTGGTTCAGCACCACCGGATCCACACTGGGGAAAAGCCTTATGCCTGCCGGTTCTGCGGCAAGTGCTTCAGCCACAGCTCACACCACAAGAGACACGAGAAGATTCACAACAGAGAAAACCCCTTGTTTGCCTACCCTATCCCATTGTTTTAACAGGTTGTTCTCAGACGGGGAGGAGTGGGAGGATGGAGAACTGTGTGCCTCGGGGAATATATATATATATATATATATATATATATATATATATATATATATATATATCCTCTTGAAGGATTTTGCCAGTAGGATTTCAGACACCACTGAGAGGTTCACCTCATGACTGAATACAACTACTGGGTATTGATACACACATCTATAGTATCTTTAATAAGACCCAGATGCTACATAGGTTCAACGAAAGCTAAAAATATGGCAAATTAATGTTCATTGTGAATGCTAATAATCTCAGATGAATTTGTGAATATCTGAAAACAGCTATCTCTTTTGCTCACATATATTGCCAAGATCCTGGCAGATATCAGTTTGTGGCCATCATTTTCGGCCCCATGTCTTTGTTCTGTAGCTTTCTCAAGATTGATCCAATCGTCTACATTCAATGTTGCCAAATCAGGCCTTCCCGGGCATACTGTATACAGCACTTATTCAAGATATTATAGCATTATTTATTATATCCACTAGTTGTATTGAATGGTGAGTGAAACTCCTGGTTGTGTTTGTACTTGGGAGTCACTGGGCCTTCTTTAATTTTTGGCCCTTCTTACTACCTAAAGAAAATCGGCTGCAGGTCCTTTTGAGGGGGAGGGGGAAGAAGACTCCTCATCTCTATGCAAAGACTCCTGAGTAATAGAGAATTTGCCCTTGGGAGATAGTGCTAGTAGTAAATTAACCTCAATATCCTTTTGCTTGAGGGCTTACATTTCCTTCCCCCTCCTTTTTGGATGGAAGCTCCCAGCCACTGGATCACACTTTTCTTATTGTCTGCTAAATTAGGAGGCCCAGTTGATGGAAATTTACCTGCCTCAGGTTTCTACAGATTGAGGTTAGTCCCCCACCTTTTTTTTTTATGTCTCATTAGAAAACTAGGTTGTTTGAGACCTTTGTAGAAGGCATGCTTCCCAGACCTTGG